TCTGTCTTTATACAATCTACACTAATTGACTTTTTTGATTCTGATTCCCAATGGTTATCTTTGTTTTTGTACATCCAGCACAACATTATTACTGTCCATCCCTACTGGTGACCTATTGAGGTTGCATTCATTTGAATGTGGCAAGCAAAAACTGTGATCATTAAAATGCAATGTGTTATCCCTTCTTTTATTAGTGAAATAGGTCCTCATTAATCACCTGCAGACATACCTGCCCCAGACAGAAACTTAACCATTAACTTAACCTTAATACATGTTCTACTGCCTTTAGTGGAGTGTTATTATCTCCCCTGATACAGTATGTGTGTGAGACAGTTAGTATCTGCATTTGAGAGAAGAGAAAGTATTGCGTGTTTGTGTGTGTTTAAGCAAGTGTTTGCCTGGTGTCCAGGCGTAGATAAATGATACTGAAGCTAGGAGATGGAGCTACTAGGGTCTGGCCAGCTGCTTCACTTTGACAGCTGCCTCACTGCTGCCTTGTGGGTAATGGAGTTCTTAACCAATTACAACCTGGGGAAATTAAAAACAGTGTCCCACTAGAATAGCTAATCTCCCTCTCTATCACTTTTTTCACTCCCTTTTGCTCCAGCAGCTGCTCACTCTCAACTCCTCCTTGCATACAAATGGACATCCAAACACACACACACACACCTTCCACTCAGCAAGTCCATTTATCAAGGCTAAGTTCTAGTCACCTGGGGATGATTATGGAGATCCAAGCTAATAGCATTCACATCCTTTTATTCTCAACATGCTCCCTTCTCCCCCTCCATCCCTGTGGTCTCCTATTCTTTCCATCTGCCCAAGCTCATATATCATTTTTTACAATAGTTAATAAGTTAGATCTACAGATACAAAACAAAACACCTGGACCACATTGCAGCTGGAAACTCTGCAGCTCTATAGGGTGTCTGCTCCACACAATGAGATCAATCTATCCGTGTGTTATGGCTGTAAATCAGACAGCAATAGAACACATTTACATTTCTTAGTGCTACATAATCAAAATAAAATAAAGGTATATGATCAAATCTATGATCTAATCAATTATCTTTTGAACATGCACTTTTTAAGGAATAGTGTCATGTTGCTACTTCACTAGCCGACTCAGTGCCCAAGCAACAAAAGAGACTAAATGTGAAAAACAACTTGTCAACACTAACAGAGTCTGAAGAGTCTGCCCTTTACAGTCACTTTTACATACAAAATAGTACTCTTTGCTTTCATCCTCAGTTTCTATTTTTGAGCTAATTTCCTGCATTTGTTGAAAGCTATACAGTATGGTGAAATGCCACAGAATGTTGAAAATAAGAAAACTACTCAATACTAATAACATTTTCCAGTATATCCAAGGCAACCTTTCTCAAACCAACCTCCTTCAATTCCCTTGATCTATTCTCTCCTATTACCCTGAACACACACACACTTTGACAATTCACTCGTGAAACGGTGTGACTCTTTGTATTCTGGTGCATGTGGTGCATTGACAGTTCAATTAACAAACCCCTCATACAGAATGTCCGCTGCTGTCAGAAACCACTAGATCCCGTGGACATGCCTCACCACCTCCTACCAAATGACCAGCTCTAGATGCTAGCAATATTGACCTGCACCTGCTTGTATGTCCAAAACCACCTTACAGTACATCCATCTTTCCTGCAAGGGCCGTTACATTGAGAAACAGTAAATCACTGAAAACAGTATGTTGGTACCACAATCTTCTAGAATGAGATTAGGTTTGTCTAAAAATCTGCTTCGCATCCCATTAATCATGAGGCAAAGAGTGGAAAAGGAAAACTGTCATGTCTGCATCCCACTCTGATAAGAAAGGGTAAATATCTGCGCTTGCTTTTTAAAGGGCAGTGTGCTACTGATGTAAGGTTAATTTAAACCATAGGCAAACACCACAAGCTTCCCTACAGCAAAATGGGGAGATTGAAATCCTCAGTCCCATCAGCTGATACATTTGGTAGGTGAGTGCTCATAGGGGCCAATATCATTTATAATGGGTGTGGTTCCCCTCCAGGACCCACAATGAACACATCCATGTAGCTGTTACTTTCCTTATTTTGTTGTTTGTGTTAGTGGGAGTAGTGGTTTGAATACACTACATGAAACATGTCAACATCACACAACATTTCACTTCCTCCACAAAAATAAATGAACATACATAAAAAATGTATATGACCAAAATGATAAATACATTAACTAAATAACAACAAAGTTGATGAAAAATGGTTGTCAAATAAGATTGCATCCCCACTCATACTTGCGATACATGCTTGCTCTTCCTTATTTTCCTCCTCCATCTATCTCCGTTTTCTTCTACCTCTACCTCTCTCTCTCTCAGACCTCTTTCTGTCTCGACTTCCTACTCCATCTAGCTCCCCATCCATCCCTCCTGTGGCTATTCAACACAGTTGTGTTCCAGACAAACCATCTGGTGCACATTATTAATGACTGACCCTACATGGCCTAGATGTCGCCTAGCTGCCACCACTCGCTGTGTGTGTGTATCTGTCTTTAGGGCTGTGTGTGTGTATGCATAAGAACAGGTGCACGCTGACTGATGATGTGATGTTGTGGGCAGCTTTAACCACTGAAGCAGGTGTACTGGTTACAGGGACTCGTACACATTATTCTGACTCCCCGTCTCTGTCCCTCTCACCTTTTAATATCCTCTGTCATGTACACAGATTCCCTTAAGGAGCTCCTATCATGCTATTTTTGGGCATATATTATGGGTCTCAGATATATACAAATATGTAAAATACATATCTATGATGTGTTTTGCTCAAAATACCAAACAGATCATGCATTTTAGACATCCCTCATATCCCTCTGTTTCAGCCCTGTTAGAGAATGGCTGATCTGGGTCCTTAGCTTGAAACAATTAAAAGAGGGGGACTTGTGCCTGCTCAGAATGATATGAGATACAGCTAAATGCTGCTGTGATTAAATGCCGTATCATGTTCCAAACCACATCAAGGATTATTTCTGTATAACAGTATGGAGCTCAAAGGCTTTTTCTCTTGCGGGTTTACCACAGGGTGAGTTCCTTTTATTATCTCATGCTTTTTTACACATACTCTCTCCAGTACAGGTTAGCTCTGAGTGTTAGCGATGCTTGCTCGTGTAAACAAAGTGCATATTACGTCCAAAACACGTCGGCATTGTTTCTGATAGCAACGTTTCTGATAGGGCCGTGGGTCCACATTTCCGATATTACGTCATTTCGGACGCAAATCTGGATCAGCTCCGTTGTACCCCCGTTTTTAGAGATTTGGGTACGGAGGAAAAGAGAGAGGGTTTTGTTTTCTGACACTTTGTGAGTTCCCCGACACACATATGTACGTATAAAGGACATTAAAAAGTGGATTTTGCATGACCTTTGGGCTAAACATTTGGATGACCAATGAGGATGACCAATGAGGATGGCTATTAGAATGCATGATGACAATGTGATGTGTGGTCTTTTTCTAGGCAGTTTTAAAAATAAGCCAGTTTCTAAAACAATTTGTAAAACTTTATGTGATAATGACCTTATAATCATTATTAGAGAAACAATAAAACTAGCTATCAAAATATTTTCAAACGAACAAAAAGGCTGATTTGGCAAGAAACAGAGACCTACAATATGCTACATTCTGGCAATCAAAGAGCTGCTTGTGGAATGGAGTCCAGGATAGATGTGTGCTGACATCCAACCGCTGACAATAAAAGTTGGATGAGACAGTTGGAGGAGAAAGAATGCAGAGGGGAAAAACATAAGAAGAGAAGCAGTGATGTGGTTGTCTGGGGATTGATCCCTCTAAGACACACTCAGCTTCTCCTCAGAGAACCAGGAGAGATAGGAGACGGGGGGAAAAGAGAATGAATTATGAAGACGCTACACTTGAAAGAGATGTGTCAACACTTTGATGGTAAAGAGTGAGAGAGTGCAAATGTAAGAAGAGATTGTATAAGGTGCAGCATAATGTAGCAGGTCAAACTAAAGAAAACGGTCTGAGAAAAACATTTCAAGTATCATATGATGATGGAATGATCTAAGTCAGCAACTATGAAAGGGACAACTTTGACTTGTTTATCAATGGCAATGAACCAAATAAGAAGTCATTTTCTCGGTTTATTAAGCATTGCTTAATAAAGAAGGAATATAGCCTCATTTACAAAAACACGGTAAAAGATAAGCATAAAGGATGTAATGAGCATAAAGTGTAAGTGTTACTGTAGAGAGTATTCATAACAAACTTTTCTGTTCATTTACGTTTACTTTATGTGCAAGTTTAGGTTTTGTTGTGGTCCCAGTTAACTTGCAGCAGCAAATGTTTGAATTTAACAGAGGCTTTAACATTTTAACATTAGCACCGTTTGCTTTCATCCTGTATGTGAACCATGTGTGTCTGTCTGTCATAAGGGGAGTGTGACATCAAAACTCTCACACACTCCCCCACACACACGTCTTTCAGGATTAGTAACATTTGTACAGCAGTCATGACAGAACTAGAACATGCTTTTACATTTTCAGATGATAGGGGACAGCCTGTGTTTCCTCAATGCACACACACTCACATGTGCATGTATGTGTGCACTTACAGTACAGTATATGCATGCATTCAAATAAGGACTCAGTGCAAATGTTTTTACCTACGATAAATATGTATTATGCAGAACTCCTTTAACTACATTTTAGACATTATAAGACCTTTTTCAAGACCCTTTTGCATACGTTTTAGGACCTTATTGCAATTATCAGTTTATATCTGTTACTTGAGCAACATACTTTGACTTACATTTACTATGCATTGATTGAAAGATAACTCAAATAAATCGTACTTGCTACGGATTCAAACAAATTGTATTGTGGCATATTTTGCCATTTGCGGCAACATAACAGTAAAATCTCTAACTTTCACTCCTTAACTTTAATTTTTTCACAGTACTAGTAGTGAAGGAATCTCAATATCTTTGTCCACACTCACCACATGTGCTGGAACTTGCTCCATCTTGGCGGCAGGTGTACCGGGCCTGGGGTAAAACTGGTTGATGAACAGACTGGGGAATCGGTAGAGCTTCACCAACTCTACCGTCTCTTGGAAGTCTCCTTCTGTCTCACCAGGAAAACCGCAGATTAAATCTGTAGCAATGGTAACACCCGGGACCCTAAAAGAGAGACAAAGAGACCTTATTAGCAAGCAAAATAAACAACACATTTCTGTCTGTTAAACCATTTTAAAAATAACTGGAGAAAAATGTGAACATCAAACAAGCAGAAATGATCATTGCATGATTAGCATGATCCTAATATCTTCTCTGTATAAAAGTAAATGAAAACAACATATCAGAAATAATGGTAATGTAAATAAGGAAATATGGAAGCATTAACAATATTATTTTAGCAGAATCCTTTAGGAAACACCAGTCAGAAATAGGTTACATTGCAGTCTAACAATCCTTAGCCTCAAAATATTCTCTGATCTATTATCTAAAAGGACTCTGAAGTTCACAATTCACAGACACCTTCCCCCTGTTGATACGTGCCTTTGGAAACTATTGGAATGACCATATCATTAAGAAAGGCTAACGTTTGTCCCCATAGACTCATTTAGCCAATCAAACCTTGGTTAGCAACCTCTGCCACCAATCACTAGCAATTGATTATTGACCCAGTGGCTTATTGGATTAGATGTAGCCAGTAGTTTGTGGGAATAGGTGCATCGATTGGTTCTATGTATTTTGTTTGTATTGACAGCAGTTTGACAGCTTGTGCAAGAACTCAAAGGCTAAGTTACTGTTGTCTTTCAGAGAACCATGTGTCTTGAGAGTACATACTTGACATTGCAATTTACATTTCGGCTAATATGTAATCTGTATGTTGTATTGCAGTTTGATCCCAACATAATTCAATGTAATCTCTGATGGCTAGAGTTAAACACCAATAAGGGCTAAATTAGCAATTTAATAATTCAGCAAGACAACATTTTTGTTTTTAGCAGCAAAGACCAAATTATATTTTGACAAGCTGGCTTTTCATTGGCCTTTTTGTTCTTCAAAATCAGATTGGGTATGGTACTCAATACGGAAGTAATTGTCAATACAAGCAAGCCATGACATTGATTACATGTCTTCTATCAAACATTAAGATGGAGTGGAACAGGAGGCACACTGGTGCCTCTTAATGTGACGTGTTATATGGAAAGCAGTCTGCACAAGAAGCCATGATGTAATTAGTAACAGACAACTTAACAGATTTCCTTTCACAAATCTTAGGGTGGAAAGAAGGGGATGGCCATTGAGACTGAGCAAACTATCAATCACCTATCATTTGTGTTTGCTTCTTACTACTCACTCTTTCATTCAATCTTTTTTCTTCTCCGTTCCTGACTAATTTTGGAACAACCATCTCAAATGTGATGTTGTAGTTCTTTAACTGTTAATGTTCTCTCATCTTACGAATAAGGACCTAGCAACAGAATTGCTTCCAAAAAAGAACCTAATTGAATAAGCAAGAATATGAAGGATCAACTACCTCTTGTAGAAAACCTTAAAGACATTAAGACAATAAACAAACACACACATAAGCATTAGTGACAGACCGACAAAGAAAAAGGCAGCTTAACTTAGACATTGATAAAAGAGTGTGAAAGACATTTTCTCTGCAATCGACAACAAGATGCATCTTTAATGACATTAACTTCCTGCATCTGCAACCCCATGATAACCTCTGACCTATTGATGACTTCCAATTGGCTTATGGTCATTAATATTAACCAATGGCCTGCAGGCACAGGCATCCTTGACCTCTAAGATCCGCCTGAAAATTACCTTTTGGAAAAGCAAAACCAAATAAATTAAAAACTAAACAATCTGAGCACGGATGAATAAATGAATAATTCTCTATTTGTGATTTAAATGTTCTTTCTAGACCCCTCAAGCAGGGGTTCTGACACCCCTGAGTATTTACCAGAATACACAGTTTGAATCCTCTACTTTGTTAAGTAAACAAAAGACTATTTGCTGCCTGTAGGCTTTTTACAATTAATAATCAAGGAAAACAGTCTGAAAACGGAGAGATATAGCTCATTTTCTGGAGCCAAGGTTTCCTACTGTGTACCCACATTACGGTCACCAGTAGGTAACATTTGGTAGGCCACATTTATGATTGGTGCAGCCTATCAAATATAATCACATCAAAACATTCTTGTCCTACAGGGATGAAAGAAAAGTTAAAAATGAATAAAATCACGTTATTTATTGCTCGTCACAAGAAAGAAATCTATAATATACTCCTCAAGCTATTTCATTAATGATACTAAGAAGGGAAGTGAATTAAATGAACATCCAAACAAACAAGCACATTTATTTTCTAGCCTTAATAGATATAAAATCAGTTGTATCCCCCCAGGGCGTTCATATCCAATTTGCAATGGCCCGTGGTGGTAGTAGTGGTGAGTTGCTATGTCTTTCTCCTTTAATAGGAAACACTAAGAACATTTACACCATTGCTGGAAGAATTGTAGAATTCAGGCCAGGGGTGCCAAGTAACACACACAGATAAGATACTGAGATAAATAGCAGGGAGAGAGACTGGTGTGAATTGACTTTTGTGGATTTTCCTAAGGTGGCGGCTGAGAGGGAAAAAACACGGGCGCCACACTGCCATTTTGACACCTCTGTCTCTCCCAGATCTAAGGGTGATGTAGGTGTGATGTGCGATACTAATGAACAAGAACCACTCTCCTTGTTAAAATGGGAGAGGAGAAACATATCTTGATATTGTTCACCTTTCAAAAACAGAGTATGTGAGAAACAGAGAGGCGGAGACGGAAAAGGAGAAAGTCAAGACGACAGATTAGCTGTCAGATCAACTAGCTTTCAATTAAACTGATGCAGGAAGAGGGATCTTAAAACTCAAAACTGATGAAACAGCTTTGTCTATATAAGTACTTTATGTACTGGAAATTATTTAGACATTGGATAACATTTGTGTCCATCCTTCCTAGTATGCAACATATTTATATTTTAAATGAAAAAAAAAGAAGCCTTTTGTTGTTATCAAATGTTAAGTAGATGTCAGGGTTTGTAAAAACTGTAAGATACAGTCTAATAAAAATCCTATATTTTAATTTATGTTGGGCATTATCCCATTATTCCAGGTGTTTTAAGAGACATGAGGTATGCGATCAATAAACAGAAGACCAGATGCAATAGTAACTGAGTGTATACATAAGAAAAGACTGATGAGTCTCTGTGTGAAAAGGAGATGAACACACAGAATCCGTCAGTGAGGCGTGGGGAAAGAGTTAACAACGGATCAGAAATGGTATAATTAATCAAAAGGAAATGAAAGCAAAGCATCTTATATCACCTAGCGTAGAGACAAAGAAAAATACTAAGAGTACAAATGATTGCAAGTAGAGATGTTGAATATAAAGTTTAAAAAAAAAAGAGAGGGACATCACAGTTTACCAAAATGTAAAAGGTACAAAAAAGGAACACGAGACACTATGGTTAAAACATAAAGGAAAAAGTGGCGTAACATTTTATGACAGGCAGCCGTTATGTAAAGAGTATAAATAATAGAGCCCAATGTTCATCACCTTTAATGCCACTTCAAATGGCATATTTAAATGCCTCCTAATAGATATGCTCTAGAAGCTACATTTAATTAGTTCTCTGTTTAACCATGTCTGAGACTATGAATGATCTGTTTTAATGGAAAGTAAACTAAATGTGTTAAAAATTAACCTGTATGATGAGAGACAAAGGGAGGATGGACTGATTTGTACATCTAGCAGTCAATCACTGACCTCATGGCTAATGCTGCAATTTCTATATCTACTTCAGAATAAAAAAGACAATACAGCCCTGAGGCCCCTAAATTAAAAGTGATAATAGTGCAGGGAAAGATGTTTGTGTGTGTGTGTGTGTGTATGCTTTGTTCCTGTCACTTCTCCTCCTGCCCCATGGAGGGAAAAAGACCTCATCCCTGAAGAATCTGGCCTCCATTAGCCTTAATGTGCTTCCAGTCGGAGTTAGCATTTACACAGGAATAATGTGTTCATAGGAGAATAAAGAATTTTAATTAAAACTCAAGATAAGAAGGCATAGCCCCATCTGCCTCAATGGGTTGAATTAAGCTTCATAAAACACGCAATTGTCTTCAGCAGAATTATGATCAACTCTTTGTTTGCTGAGGCCTCATACATGCATACATGAGCTCCCATATACATACAGCCATCCTCTTCATCATATATTCAAAATATGTGCATGTGTATGCAAGCGTGTTTGCACAACAGATGCCTGTGAGCGGCCCCCGTGATAAGATGAAGGCGAGACCATTGGGACAGAAGAGCCCTGAGAAACCAAAGCTAGAAAAAAAAACGAGTGTGGCACGGAGGTGTAGAGAGGAAGTGATGGAAGGGGGAGAGTGGAAGAAAGACAATCTGGGAAGGTAAATATTTACCTATTCATCTGTTGGAAAGAGACCATGCAACCCATCTGTGCAGCAGTGTGTGTGTTCTCTGAAATGATAATGTGTGGCACCGTGGGGCCGCTGTAGCGTAGGAGTCGGACGGTGAAGGAAGAGAGAGAGAGACGTGGCGATGAGCAGAGAGGGAGAGAGATGTGCTGTGGGGAACTTTGTCGTCAAACGCAAACACTTTGGAAAGTTGCCGTCTTGAGGAAACTCATGAATAAAATCACATTAACAAGTAATCTGACGGCTTTAGAGCAGCAGCTGGGGTGAGCTGCTGCTAGGACTGAAGTTTGAAGATTACAGATCCACAACATATTGTGTGAAAATGATGTCAGACATACAGTAATCAATGCTTATGTGGGGAAGCGTAAAGAGGATTTCTCCATAAATGTGAGGTTCAAATAGGAGCCATCTGTGCTCACCAACACTGACTCTCAAGGTCATCTCCTGATAATCCAAAGGTTGAAACTGTTTTTGCATGTCACCTTAAGATGGCCCACCTATACGTTACCATGAATGCATATCAAAGAATTGGAAAACCAAAATTAGAATCATTTGAATGAATACTTTGTAGTCCATTTGCAAGAACATTTCTTGGAAGAAAAAGCATGGCTATAAATGATCAAAACAACCTCTGTGAATTATGCAGTGGTAAAAAGTACTTTCTTTAAAATGCTGTCAATGT